ACACACACACACACACACACACACACACACAATAAATAAATAAACAAATAAAAATTTAAAAAAAATAAAATAAATAACATAACATAAAATTAACAAGGGCTGATTGATATAAGCTCTGGGTTCAGTACCTACTACCAGAAGACACAAACAGTATCTTTGAATGTACTATATCTTGCATTGTTGAAAAAAGTTGTGGGGCTGGGGACATAGCTCAGTAGAATAAGCACTTGCCTGGCAAGTTCAAGGTCCTGAGTTCAATCCCAGGTACCGCAAAAAAAAAAAAAAAAAAAAAAGGGTTTTGGATAATTAGTCAAATTGTATGCGCATTTCCTTTTGTAATAAATACTGACAAATCCCATTCTTTGTGGGGGGGGGTGAGGCAGGGTCTCGCAAGCGACCTCTGTGAAGGTTGTGAGCCCAGAACCCAGAGAAATAAATTAAATTCAGGAAAACTTCCGGGAAGAACACTCCGTTTTGCAAGCACGCCCTAACCCAGTATCCCACACCACGCCCATAAGGGCGGTGCTAATGCCGGAAGCGGCCGAGGCCGGAAGCCCTGCCGGCCCTCCGGGTCCTCCTCCCAACCTGCCCCGGCTCAGGCCCCGCCCCCTCAAAGTGGGTGAAAGGTCGGCGGCGCGGTGCTGAAGCTGGGGCGACCGAGCAAAACTGACAGGACGACTCCTGACTAACCATGGCAGACGAGCCGCGGCCGATCAGTCCACTCAAGAACCTGCTAGCCGGCGGCTTTGGCGGTGTGTGCCTGGTGTTTGTGGGGCATCCTCTGGACACTGTCAAGGTGCGGGGAGATTGGGGAGGGAGACTGGGGAGGAAGCCTGAGGGCTCGTGGCCCCTAAACAAATGGGACCTCTAAATACAACCTTCTGTGGAAAATCTAGGGAATTGCTGTTTCAGAAGTGGGCGGAAGCTGTCTTTTGCACTGTAAAACAGCCAGACAGCCCGAAGTGAGCAGCCCCCAACGACCCCATCAATAACTTCTGGGTAAAGGTCTCAGTCTTACAGTTTCTTCTGACCTGCTTTGGGAATGGGAAAGAAAAAGCGGCTGCCTAAAGCTGATTGCAGCCAAGCTAGCATTTTATCATCAAAGCTGAACTATATCCCCTGTAAGCTTGTCTCAGGAAGACGGCTAAAGAGAGATGTAGAGTTGTTCTGGAGATGACCTGTGATACTCCCTGGGGCCAGAGTGCACCTTTGCCAACTCCTGCACATTGCCCTCAACACTAAAGTACTTGTCTAGTCATCCTGTCACTCCATGGTAGCCTGCATAGCCTTCTGCAGAGAGGCACCCCATGGGAAGCTAATGATGTCCTCAGTGACACAGCCTTGTCCAAGGAAAGCAGATGACCAGCCCTACACAGGGTCAGGCCGATCTCCACAACTTCCAGATGAGGAAGCTGTTGGTTGTACGGGATAGCAGAAACACAGTGCCCTGGAACAGAAAGCAAAGCTTTATTGGAGATCAAAGACCATGTCCTGTGCCTTTGTATTTGAAATTTCACCCTAGTTTAGTAACTTTACTGTATTTCAGGACACAGGAAAAGAAATGACAGGTTATGACACGAATTAGCCGGTAGGTAGCAGACATGGGTTACTGGGGAAACCTATGTGGAGGGCTACTTAGAACGTTGGATCTAATTTCCTTCATAGGAAAATAGTTTCATGAACTCTTCTGGGAAACCTTGGGAAACAGATTCTTTAATGCTTTTCATTTGAGAAAGAAGCTGACTCTTAAGGTAGAGCTTCTACTGGGATTATGGTATATGAAGATCAGCATTAAAGTAGGTAGGCTGAAAAAAAAAATAAAGTAGGTAGGCTGGCTAGGGCATTTGTGTAACAAGAAATCAGATGTTTTTTCAGTCAATGGTAAAATGCTTAGTGCTTCTAAGTCATTGAGTCATTCCAAGAGTCAGTTATCTGGCCTCTATTCTAATCTTTGGCTCATCTTAGCAGAAATGTTAGTTATAGACATCTGAAACTTTAAAGAAACACAAAATCTTTACTTGATGCCTTACATAAAAGTTACTAGGTGAGGCATAGTGTAACTCCAGCACTTGAGAGGCTCAGGGATAAGGATTGCTATGAATTTGAAGGCAGCCTGGGCCACATAGTGAGTTCAAGACCATTCTGAACTACACAGCAAGACCCTAACTAAAAAAAAAAAAAAAAAAAAACCTTAAAATATTAAAAAATGAAAATGTTGCTTCTACCTCCTTAGCCTCTTGTCCTTAATAATACTCCCAGGTACTGCATGACCTATAGTCTGGTGACCTCTGTGCTAAAAATGCTCACTGGCATTTTGACAGCAAGAAAGTTGCTTTTTAGTATAAAACAAAATGATAGATTGCCAACCGATGTCCTTTTGACCTCAGAGAGTGAGGTGTATTCCATTTAAGGCTTGACCTAGAGGTACCTAGAGATTCAAGGCAACTGATCTGTGGCCCATATGTCTTAGTAAGCAAAGAAGTGTCAGAGTTGGGGTTTAGAAAAACTCTTATGGAAAGTGATGTTAAGGGCCGGGGAGTTGGCTCAGTGGAATAAGCGCTTCCCTAGCAAGCACAAGGGTCTGAGTTCAATCCCCGGTTCTGCCAAAAAAAAAAAAAAAAAAAGTGATGTTAGGCAGGCATTGAAGGTCAGGCCGAGTTCTTACTGGAAGAATATGGCCATCTAGACAGTACGGCATGTAGCAGTATTTTAGTCCATTTTGCTCTTTCTTTTTTGAGACAGGGTCTCACTATGTAGCCCAGGCTGGCCTTAAAATCACTTCAATTTCATGTCAGTACTTGGTTTATGTAACCCCAGTGCTCTGGAGGCTGAGGCAGGAGGATTCCTAAGAGTTCAAGACCAGCCCTTTAATTTAATTTTTTTTTTTTTTTTTTTTTTTAAGTACAGGGTCTACAGGATCTCATTACACAGTCTTGTAGTGATTCTTCTGTTTTCAGCCTCCCAAGTGCTGGGCTTACAGGCATGTACCACCACTCCCAGTGTCAGTCACAGCTCAGTGAATCCCCAGGACAGGGACAGCATGGCATGCTGCGGGTCGAACCCTGGTCCCTGCATCTGCCTAAGCAGGCGTTTTAATCTGCTGAGCTATCTGGCCAGCCCTGGGCTACATAGTTGATGGCCAGGCTGAACTACATAGCAAGACACTGTTTCAAATAACCAAAAAATAAAGGGAAAAAATCACAACAATCCTCCTGCCTCAGCTTCAGAAAGCTGGGATCACAGGTGTTCACCACCATGCCTGGCTCGAGCCCTTTTATGTATATATAAAACATGAGTTTTCAGACATGGTATCACAAAGTCTCAAAATTTCCAGGCTGACTGGAACTTTTAATCCTCCTACCTCTCAAAATACTGGGCTAAACTGGGGAGTACAGGCCAGGTGGTGCATGCCTATAATCCCAGTACTAAGGTTGGAGGAAGGCTGTGAGTTTGAAGCCAGCCTGAACTTCATGGTGAGACTTTGTCTCAAAAACAACACAAAACACCTCAGTTGGTTTTGGTTGGCATTTGGACTCCGCACTTGTAAGAATGAGGCCTTTCAAACTACTGGGCTTACAGGTGGTTCATCATGCTCCGCTCATAGTGGGAAATTTAAAAGGAAGTGATTTATTCTTATAATTCTAGAAGCTAAGAAGTCCAAGATCTAGGAGCCCACATCTGTCCATGGCCTTCATGCTGATCACCGCCATAAGTCCTGTGTCTCAACACTGTGGCATTTGGGAATCAAGTGCTTTTTGGCAGGAGTGAAGGCAAGTGCGGTTTTGTAAGTGAGGAGTCAAAATGTCAACCAAAACCAACCGAGGTGTTTTGTGTTATTTTTTGAGACCTAGTCTCACCGTGTAGTTCAGGCTGGCTTCAAACTCACAGCCTTCTTCCAACCTTAAGACTGGGATTATGGGCAGGCACCACCCAGCCTGTACTCCCCAGCTTAGACTCAGGGTCTTTCACAAATTTATAGTTAAAAAATTGGCTTCCGGGGCTGGTGAGATGGCTCAGTGGTCTAAAGCACCTACTTAGAACAAGCTTAGCAAAGCAGAGGGACCGCAGTTCGATCCCCCAGCACCACATGCCAGCCAGCCTTGCCCCCTGGTGGGCTGAGCTGGCCACACACACACACACACATACACACAAATTAAAAAAAAAAAAATTGGCTTCCACCCGCATCATTTAAGAACATTCATAGCTCAATAATAAAAAGCTAAATAATCCAACCAAAAATAACCAAAGAATCTAAACAGGCATTTCTTTAAAGAATATATATGAATGATAGCCTGTGAACAGAATTTCAACATTGTATTTGTCTTGGAAATCAAAGTCACAATGAGGTACTACTTCGTACCTACTATAATGGTTATGATAAGACAATACAAATGATAGCAAGTTTTGTTGGAGTTGGAACTCTTCTACACTGCTGGTAGGGATGTAAAATACTGAAGCCACTTGAAAAATGGCTTGACAGTTTCTCAAATGGTTAAAGAGAAGAGCTAGGGATATAGTTCACATGTTTTGCATGCACAAGGCCTAGGGTTTCCTGGCACTAAGCAAAAAAGTAAAGGTTAAATAGAATTAACCTATGACTTAGAAACTTCTATTCATAATGAGGGCTGGGGAGATAGCTCAGTAGAATAAGTGTTTGCTTGGCAAGTGCAAGGTCCTGAGTTCAGTCCCCAGTACTACAAAAAAAAAAAAAAAAAAAAAGAAAAAGAAAGAAAGAAAGAAAGAAAAGAAAGAAAGACAGAAAGAAATTTCTATTTATAATGAGAAGAGGAACAAAGGAGAGGGAAGAGGGAAAGGAAGGAAGGGACAAGAAATGAAAGAACAGAAGAAAAGTGAAGGTAAAGCTTTTGTAATGAGCAGGGAAAAGGGGTTGAAGGGAAGGGTGGGAAATGGGAAAAAAAGAAGAAGCATCCTGAACAGGTACAAATTCCCTGTGATGAATGTTACCATTATGTATATCTAAAATGTACCAAGTTTTTTAAAAAAGGTATATTCATCAGACAGAAAAATCGGGAATTCATAAAAAAAATTTTTTTTGGTATTTTTTAGGGATGGGTCTACAGGGTGTTCAGGGTCTCACTACTAGATTGGACTTGTGGTGATCTGCCTGTTTACAGCCTCCCAAGAACTGGGATTACAGGTGCACACCACCATACCTAGTCTCTCATCAAAAAATTTTTAAATTCTAGTCTTAGATAAATTATATAGTAGTTACTTGATGTCAACTGGATTGAATCTTACGTATAGATATTTGTTCAGATGCCAATTGTTTTGTTTTTTTTTTTAATGTATTTAGTACAGGGTCTACAGAGTCGCACTATACAGATCCAAATCATAGTGATTCTCCTGTTTTAGCCTCCTAAGTGCTGGGATTACAGGGGCATGCCACCACGCCCAGTCTCAGTCACTGTCTCAGTGGGCCTTGGGGGCAGTACTGAAGGCATACTGCCAGGGATCAAGTCTGGGTCCCTGCATCTGCCTAAGTAGGCACTTTAATCCATTGAGCTATATGGCAAGCCCTGGGTGTGTTTTTGAGGAGGGTATTTTGCACCAATTCAGTCCTTTTTATATTTTTGTCTTAAGTTTATATTTTTATTTTGAGACATGTCCTGACTGGGCTAGAGCTTGTGATCATGTTGCCTCTACCTCCCAAAGTTCTGGGATTACAGGAGTGTGCCATCACACCTGGTTTGTGAGGGTGCTTTTGAACATTAGCTCAAATCTAGAATCCCAGTGTTATAAGGATGGTATCAGAACCCAGTGTGATATAAAGGAAATGATATTTCTCCCAACCTGTTAGATGTATGATATGTTGAGTTCATGTTCCCCAAAAATTAAAGAATGAATTCTAGGAACAACAGAGGAAAGATATAGAAGATATTTAGAAAATATTTATTGGAAGATATTTATTGAGTGGATAGAAAGCTCTTGTCAGAGGAACAGGATGTTCCTTGTCCTGAATGGGTATGGAGGACTCCACTCAGTAGGGAAATTTTGTAGAGCAAAACCCATGTGGTACAATGTGTGTTACAGTTATAATAAACCAATACAAGTACAGCTGCTTAGGTAATATTGATCCAATAGAGAAGTAAGTCACATTATCAATTGGGCATGGAAAGATCAAAGAACTCAGGGATTTGGTTTTGGTTCCCCATTGGGGTGACTAATGCCAATCTAAACTTTGTTAGACTAGGTGTTAGCACCATCTCACCTCCGAAGAATATGTAGGGCTGGTCATTTTGTTGTTGTTATCTTGAAGCTTGACATCCAACTCATACTTCTTTATTTATTTATTTATTTATTTATTTTATTTAGTGTGTGTGTGTGTGGCCAGCTCAGCCCGCCTGGGGGCGGGGCTGGCTGGCATGTGGTGCTGGGGATTGAACCGTGGTCCATGTGCTTTGTTGAG